TATTGATAATTGGTGACTTCTCCATCATTTTCTGTAACACAGTGCACTGACAGCAGGTTCTTGCTGAGTTCTGGAACATATGAAACGTTTTTCAAACTACACTCTGTAAGTTCTAATTTGCCTATTTCTTCTGCAGTCATACTTTGATTTTTCTTTGCTACCTTTATACATTGAGTATAATGCTTAGTATGTATCAAATCAGTCTTCACATTTGTCATATGACGTGTGCTGCCACTATCCACTACATACATTTTGTCATTTTCACTTGCATCACTCACGTGGGTTTCTGCTGCTTCAGCTAGAAAACTGACCTTGCTTCTTATATTCCTATCTTTTAAAATAACAGTCCTTTTCATCATGGTTCGTTTTCTTACATATTGCACACTGTTTTCTCGTATCATCACCCTTGTTTCTAAAGTAACAGTCCTTTTCAGATTATTCCTTTTACAGATAGAGCAATTTTTCTTACCTCTGTTGGGGCAGTTGATCTGGGCATGACCTATTTGATTACAACTGAAACACTTTAAAGGGGTTTTACTTTTGGTTTTAGTTATTGTCCTAAAGGCTATGTTTTCCTCTTCTTTAGTCATCTTGCACTTCACTTCTTCCAACATCAATCTTGCCACCAGGTTGTCAAGCGTTCTCTCCACGGTCGCCATTGAGTCCAAAGCAGTGCTGAAGTGTTTGTGGTCTTCTGGTAGAATTGTTATTTTTGTCATGATCATGTTTTCATCAACGTTTTGGTTCAGTTGACGAAGCTTGAAAGCAGTGTTATCTACATAACTTATATTCATCATCATACCCTTGGTTTTGTCATACTTGAAGTTGTAGAAGTCTTGTAGCAGAAGGCACTTCTGTTGAGAGGTGTCTCGCTGATAAATTTGCTTTAAGATGTCGTACATTTCTTTCACGGTTGAGCATGTCACAATGTGGGTCTTCACGTGTTTCTCTAGCATTCTCACTATGTAGTATTGGTACATTGCATCTCGCATCTTCCATTTCCTTATATTTTCTTCGTCTCTTTCTTGCTCTCTTAATGGGTCGTTGCTGCCATCAATGATGTTTATCAGTTCTTTTGCACGCATCAGAATCTTGATTTCAAAATCCCAGTGGAAATGAGTCGGCGTCCTTCAGTTTTGGCAGATGCGTTATCTCTTCTGTCTCTGTGGCTGCCATTTTTGGTTTTTTTCCTGTCCTCTCCTTTTTCCTTTTTCCTCTTTCTTTCTTTCTTTCTTTCTTTCTTTCTTTCTGTCTTCTTTTTTTTTTTTTTTTTTTGCATGCGTTCCCGCATGACGCGTTGGCGGACGTGACTTCCCTTCACACCACTACTATGTGACCGGACTATCTGCACTGTCACAGCAAACTCAAACTTGTGTGAATGTGTTCCTGTGTCCGCGCGCGAGGCCACCGCGACGGCTGCGTAAGCTGGCACGCTTAGAGGCGGCACAGCAATCCCGATGCTCGTTCTCCGTGGACTTGAAGNAGTAGCAGTGATATCCCACGATAATTAGTACGGTCAGTTTACCTGTAATTGCCCTTCTTGTAAATTGGTACAATAGCAGACTCCTTCCCTGATCAGGAAAGTCTTCCTTATTCCAAATAGAATTAATGATTATATGGATCTCAGAACATGTTGTTTCACATCCTGCTTGAATCTGTTCTGCTTGAATTTGATCACTGCCTGGTGATTGATACCTTTTCAGCGTTGCAATAACAATTTCAGCCTCAAAAGGACTAGGACCAGGTGCAAACGCCTTAGATATGTATATTTCTATCTGCCTAACATCACTGACCCTATGTATCTTTAATAACTGAGTGAAGTAGTTCTTCACCAATTCAAAATGTCATGAGACTCTGCAAGCAGATCACCAATTCTCATCCTTCACTAAGTTACTTCTAGGTTGGTAACCCCTCTTAAAATCATATATTCCCATATACAGGTCTCTAATGTTCTTGTTCAGACCGTTATTTGCAAACTCATTCATTTTTTCTTTCAGATATTCTTTTGTTTTATTCCTGAAGTGCTTGCTGGCTTCATGTCTCTCTATTGTTCAGATTGGTCTCATTTATTTCGCTTGGATCCTGTAACCACTGCAATTTGTTTTTTTTTTTTTTTGATCTAATATTCTCTCTAATAGTTTCCCAAGCTCTATTAATATCCACTTCAGTGTCTAAGATTTCCTGAGCTGCAAACCTATTCGAGATTTCAGCAACACACTGCTCATTATACTCTATCTCATTTAATTTCTTGAGATCAAACCTCTCCATATGAAATCTGTGCATTGTTTTTTACTCACTGTCAATGTCTCCCTAACCTTTGCCACCACAGATGTGGTCAGTATCACAATCTGCTGCCCTGAACAATGGGACATCAAGTACACTTGAATGCCATATCCTGTCTGTCAAAATATGGTTAATCTGATTGTGAGTCTTTTCTTCAGGAGGTGTCCAAGTAAATTTATGAATGTTACAATGTGGGAACATTGCACTTTTGATAGTCAGATTTTTTGATGTGTTAAAGTTTACTACTTTAACCCCATTATAATTACTAATTTCGTGTAAACTCTCATTCCCATTTGTTAGTTTTAAAATGTCTTCCTGTACTGAAATCTCATAACAAAGTTTTCATATGGTATTTAGAAAATATATCAGATACATCTTTCTAGTTCCTTATAGAAGCAGTCCTTCATATCATCAGACTTATCTTCTGTTGGTGTATGGACATTCAGAACAATGATAGCACACCAGCAACCTCTTAGTGTTGTGGGGATTTGTCGTTACTCCAATGACAACCCACTTCTTCAGAAAGTTTGTAGGTCCTGAAAAGGACCGTTGGCTGCTGGGATGTTTGGCCGGTGAAGTAGCGCTACGTACACCGGTAGAAATGATGTTGGATGCGGTGTGTTGCGGCGGCAGCTAAATTGTAGTCTGGCCGGAGAGCGTGATTGCTGGAGGTTGCTTGATCGCAGTGTGGCAGTTGCTGGAAGACGTCTGCTTGCGGAGCGCGGTCACTGGAGTGGCGGCAACTGCACCAGATGCCAAGTGAGTCGGGCATGACTGCCGGCGAGCCAGGGAACAAGTTGCCCAGTGAGTCGGGCATGACCGCCGGAGAGGTGAGGCAGCTGTTCCTGACGTAGCGAAGTGCCGATGCCTCCGAAGACCGAGCACTCTGTATGAAGCGTGATAGCTGACTGGCTGATTCTGACTGAATGTGTCTCATTGCATCTCAGTGCTGCTGGTTTGGAGCTGCGCCTTTTTATACAAAGCATGATGGAGGAGCGAAAATTGCAGAGCGCTGATTGCCTAGCGCGTGTAATGATTGAATGTGGACTAGAAAGTGAGTGCAGTATAAATGTGAGCGTTGGAAGCAATTTGATTGGTTAGCGCGCATGATGGTGAAAAGTGAGCGCCGTAGAAATAGCGTGATAATAATGTTCCCACAGTGTCATGCACAACATCCTGTCACCAACAAACTCTATCCTCATAACTGCTGATATGATTCTCTTATGTACAGAGAAGACCTGTACCTAATGCATGATCGCCATTCCCCTTTCCATAGAAAAATGTAAATTTTACTGCAGGTTTACTGCCATCTCTGTCGCATCTGACCTTCTATACTCCCACTAAATCTAACTTATATTGACATTTCTTACAAAATATCACAAATGGCCTTGGACTTGGGTAGATTCTTTTGATAAACAATCTGAGCTAAAGGACAGAGTTACATAGGTCTTTCTTAAATGAAAGTGATTGTTATGATTTTTTTTAAGCTGATGTTTGACCGGGGTTTTCTGTACCTCTTGTGGGAATAAGTTTTATGATTGCTAGATTGCATAATTTTTACGTTTTTCTTTGTTTACATGCTTTCAGAAATATGGTGAAAGAGAACACATTTCAAGCCTGGACACAGAGCATCCAGTTACAGAATTTGAGCAACAAACCACAAGGAATGCTCGTCTTAAGGAGTACAAGACAACACCTCACATACAGCATCGTATTAAGAAAACAACACAAACAACAGAAACATCAGCAACCACTGAAAGTCGTTTGCTTCGGTTGGTAGCTCTTGAAACAACAGAAACACTTAAGAGTAAGAAATCAAGACAGACAAGACCAACCACTACAGAGCTGTCCCTGCCTGTACAAGTAAACTATCCAAATATTACTACTAGTATTACTGCTGCTGCTGCTGCTGCTACTACTACTACTACTACTACTACTACTACTACTACTACTGCTACTACTACTGCTACTGCTACTAACACAGAAAGTTCTCTGAAGCGACATATAATGTTTACATCACTAGCAGCCTCTACACAGAAACCTTTGACACAATCAGAGGAGTATGACAAAACAGCTACATCTGTAGCTGACCCTCTGACACGACTGACTGAGCAAGCTACAACAATATCAACAGTACCAGTTACTTCATTGCAAAAGGAGCAACCATTAACAACCACTGCAGGAGAAATATCCATACAAGTAGAAGAAATTTCTGATGGTAAAGTAGCCAGCATCACAATCACTTCAGCCCAGCACGTTAATCATACAACACCACATGCTGAAAAATCTGAAAAACAATTAACAACGACTGTTAATCCTGTTCATTGGCACTTAACTAAAAAGACGTCAGTGCCAACCAAAGGACTTTCTGATACACAGCATTTAGAATATGCAACAAAACCAAGTCCACTGCAGACACAGCCGGAAACAATATCAAGCATTAAAAATCCTCTATTGAAATACAAAACAACAAATTTAATAAACTCTACTGAGAGCACAAAAGCAACTTTCATTGCAGAAAGTCTGAAACCAGAGGATCAACTAACACAACAGCATCTTTTTTATATGCTGGTTTATGGAAAGCAAGCATCTACCCAATCAACAGACTTATTAACAAGCTCCACTCTCGATGCAGAAAATGATTCTTCATTTACACCTACTACCGTGTCTGAGAAAGATGATACTTCAAATCACACCAATCCAGAGATTACTGCTATAGAACAACTTACATCAAGTTCCAAGAGTAGTGAAAGCCCCTTTAACAGTCTAACAACACCACCTACAACCATGAACAACAGTAGTTCTGCTACCCGTACTTTGTCTACTGCACCTGTCAGTGAACTGTTATCTTTCACTCCAGCTAATGAGAATGTTACTTCTCATAGCATCACTGCTGCTGTTGGGTTTACTATTACAGACAGATCAAGAACACCTTCTATATCTACTACTGACAGCACAGATACAGGATCTGCAACTCCCACCAGTTTGCTGACATCTACCAATAGTTCTGGTCCTTATATTCAACCTCTTTATTTACTGATAGGTACAAGTGGTTCTACTGATTCTACTATTCCAACCATCACTTCTACTGCAGATAGTACAGTTATTACTGATTCGTCTGTTTCTGTCATTGATGATATATTATCGCAGACCACTCCCACTGTACAACTTATAAATATTAGTAGTATTTCAACTACAGCAGATGAACCAACTAATACGGCCATTACTAAGGAAACATCAGCTGTCATTTCTAATACAACAGCATCTGGTAGTTTTCTTTCTGTCATGTCAACACAGCATAGTCCACTTACAAGTGACAAAACATCCACAGCTACACCATCACACAGGAACCAGAAGATCATTTTAAATGCTACAGTTGTAACAGGTTAGTTAATTAATTAGTAAGTTCGTTAGATGATTACTGAAAATCTTGAAGTAACAGAGATCTTCAGAACTATATGTTACAATTCAATTTAAGTTGTTTCAGGTTAGTAAAACTGTACATGTACTAAAAATGGTGAGGGAGCAAGGGTAGCTCAGCCAGTTTAGCAACTAGCCTACAGGCTGAACACTCGAGGAGTCTGAGTTTGATTCGTGATAGAGGAAGATACTTTTTTCTTCTCCATAATGGCCAGACTGGCTCTGCAGCCCATATAGCATCCTGTGTAATGGGTACCAGAAACTGTTTCCCTGGGGGTGCATCAGTAGGGGTGCAAAGCTGACCACTCACCTCCATGTAATGCTGAGATTAAGAAAGGCAGAGCCTTACCTCCACTCCTCCATAAGTCTTCATGGCATGTTGCTTAATTAATTAAGCCCAGGAATAACTTTGCCCTTTACTGAAAATGGTTGAGTCAATGAGTGATGGATCTCAGCAAATACCTGCTCACAAGTAAATTTAATCCTGTATTACTTATGAACAACAGTGAATATATGCATACAGTTATCTAAAGAGTAATTATAAAAGCATACATAGATGTCATTATACATGTGCGCATTTTTCTGCACCTGCGGAAGAAAATTTCTGCATCAGAATTTTTCTATATTTTGAAGAAATTTAAAATAGTTTCTTACACTGAAACCTAAACAAAAATGTGATTTTAAGAGTATGTTGTTGTAGAATGTGACAAGAGTGTAGTTTGCTAGATGGGTACCAACATTTCAGAGAAACTAAATTACATAACTTCATATCCCACAAAACCATAATCTTAATGTTAAACTGCTGTGAGAACTTCAGTTTTCAAAAATGTGATTTAATTGTTGTACAACTTAAAGCTCATATTTCCTCCTTTTAAATGAATGAGGCATGTTGATACATAATTTATATAATATATATAATATAATATATATANTTTCATTTAGTATCACTTAGTTTTTACAGTCTCACGTGTAACACTGTGTTCTATAAAATTTATTAAAAGTTATTCATTTTAAAATTTGTCTCTACATGTTCCGACCAATGTGGTCATCATCAGGTGTTAAAATTATTGGGTGAGGAAACTGCTGTCTTCTGTTGTTGCTTATGTTGTTAATATGTAAGTTCCCTCGATGCACTGCACTATTTCGGAAACAAGACACACAGCACAACACGCAATAGGAGAGACTGCAACCCACCAACTCGCACACACATGCATGTGCTGATCCCATTAGCAAAATACTTATTCAATACTGTTATAATATACAATTGTTATATTCTATTACAGAAGGAATCACACATTGCACATCAAGTGCATGCAAGGTTTTGGCTAGTCGAATGTTGAGTCTGATGAACCACTCTGCAGATCCATGTGAAGATTTCTATGAATATGCTTGCGGTGGGCTGCGTGACAACCGAAATCTTCTGCAGCATGACCCTGAGTATGAGGTCTGGACCAGGATTGCTAGTATGTAGTAATCAAACTAAATTAAAACTCTGGACACACCAAAAACTGAAAATTTTTAAAATGTTGATATTTATATTAAGATTTATTTCTCATTCTGTTTGATTTACCAGTATAATTGAACTTATCAATTCAAACCACAGCACCCAGAATAACAGCTCTGGATTAGATACATGTTTCTTACAGCTCAAGAGTACTCTGCCTTCTGGTATGTAATTCCGCGTAGTTTAGTAGAAGTTTACCAACATGTTGGAGTTTGTTGTCACAATCTTCACAGTCAGAGAGTATATGAAGTAAACGATGAGAAAGCAGCGAGCAGAGTGGTTGCTGGCTGCAAGATAGGTGCAGCATGATCCTACAAAAGTCAGTAAATTTCTACCAGACTGCACAGCATCACATCCCAGAAGATAGTACTCTTCAGAGACACCATTGTGAGGATTTCAAATCTAGTACAAAAGTTATTCAGGAGAACGTGTGATGATGCTTATTACAAAAACATGGAGTCCCCCCCCCCAAGAACCAAAAGAAAGAAATGAAAAAGAAAAGGAAAAAAAAAACAATTACTTCTAAAATGTGTGGCCAAAGAGGTGATAAAATGGATCTATTTAAATATGTAATAATTTTAGACAGATATGGAACTATATGTTAACCATTGCAATTATATCATTTCATTTCATTTCACAGCTTTTTAAAAATCTTGTTATGAAAGCTCAGTATTCAAACATAAATTATTTAAATGTGTCAGTAAAATCAATGTTACACGTGTCCTTCATCTGCCTGATAGGTAGGTTACACATCATTTTCTTCAATGTGTGAGTGATTTAATTTTATCTTGAGAAACAGACAACCATACTTGTACATATTTATTCTCATATGTTCTGAGACCTGAGATTCAACCATACATTTGAATTCTATTACTGTTCAGAATCTTTTATATGCAGTATTTCAGTAAAAACTTTACATTAGATTGTTGTCATATTATTTAACCTTACTTTTAATGTTTTTATTATTATTTATTTATCTGGCACAATTAAGTCTGCTTTTGGCTCCTGGGTGATTTCAGCAAAGGATATATGGTTCCCCCTCCTCCAGGTAATACAGGTTAAATGGTATTTTTCACTTCCTAAATTATAGTTGTAGTTCATATGCTTGCTAGATTTCAATAGCTTTCAGAAAATAGCCGTAGTCTCTTTTCATTAAGTCACACTAAGTCTAGGAGAGAGTTGGTTAAGCTTTGGTCAAAAGACTACTACCTAAGTAAAAACATTTTCTAAATATCAGTGTTCAGATATCAATATTTGCATATTCCAATAATATCCATACCGGCCACACTATATCATCATGTAAGTTTTCATTAGTGGATAAATCAATTTTATTGCACTGTAAAATAACTAAATATGCACGAACCTCTTTTCTGCTAAAAATTACAGTTATGAGTATAGTAATAATTGTCAGGCCACACCACAACTCAAGCGGTTAGTCGCTGGCTTCCCACCGTGGCAGCCCGGGTTCAATCCCATGTCTGGTCAAGTGGGATTTGTGGTGGACAAAGTGGTGCTGGGACGGGTTTTCTCCAAGTATTTCGGTTTCCTCTGCCAATCTTCATTCCACCAAATTCTCCATCATCATAATCACCTGGGGCAGGTACAATAAGCCAATCAGTGGCCGCCATGCTGAGTGGACCCAACTGGACTCCACCCCCCACTAGCGAATTAAAACAAAAAAAAATAGTAATAATTGTGTGTATTGCATTACTGAATACATGGCTATGAACCAGTTGTCACTAATTCACCTTCTGTTTATTAACCTGATAGGAAATAATCCTGTCTCTTCAAGTCCCATAGCACAGCAATATGGAAATTCAAAAGTTGCACTTCACTCTGACATTGTATAGTGTTTGAACATTAGATAATAATGTTTATGTGTTGTTACAGGTGCTGTTAGACAGATAGATGTCCACAGCTCTGAAGCATTCAAAAAGTTCAGTCGTTTCTATGAACAGTGTTTGATGTTTGACTCTCTTGTAAATAAGACATCTCGCTTGGAGCAAGGTGAGTATCAGCGGGATAAAATCAGATATGACAGTTTCTGAGAATTTCTTGCTGTCAGATGGAAATAAAATATCACGGTACAACACTGACATTCTCCTTAGTGTAAATCTGGGTGATTTAAGTCTATTTGTATATGGGGACTACAAAAATTTTATCCAAATATTCTGTCACTCAGTATTTCCTTTGGAAAACTACTCTTGCAGTTTATTTAAAGAATGTGAAAATGTGTAACATCTCACATAGATTTGGCTTGAAGAGTGGCAAGCATGCAGCTGTTACCTAATATAACACAAAATGTCATTGAATAACTGACCAGAAAAAGGGTCATGTCATGTATTACTTGTTTGAAAATGCATCACATCATATCTGGCCGCCTATTTTGTTGCGTTTGATTTGTTACATTTTGATCCTTTTCCTTGGAAGTGGTGAGCAGTATAAAATTGTCAAGCTGAGACTAAAAATCAGCACATTCTTATTTACTACTGCCATATATTTTTCTTTAAAAGCCTGAGAAAGTTGTTATTTTGGTGTAGGGGGTAATAAATGCAGTAAGAAGTTAACAGCATTTGATAAGTAGTATTCAAAATAAATTCCTTCAGCTACAGAGCAACTTTAAAGCCTGCCAAACATGTTTTGTCCACAGAATTCTCATTTATTTACTATGCATTTTATACAGGGAAAATGAAGAACATGATGCTGATGATGGTTCAACTTTAGAGGTTAAATGACATTGAAAAATTATTTTGTTTTTTACTTTTGTTTTATTTAACGACCTTGTCATTAGACTAGACTGTATAGCATAAATGGTACAATAATTAGTAAATAAGGACATAGAAAACCGTGATTAACGGCCGTGGGGATCCGTTGTGCTGACCACGTGACACCCTCTATCCGCTGAAGTTGGCACTAACTTCGCCGACAAACGGCGGTTGCTTGGTCGGTATAATTTGCTTGCGGGCTACAGGCCACGGAGCTTGTTTTTGTTTGTTAATTAGTAAATAAATGAACTGGAAAGGACATGGAAGGAAGCAGTCATGGTCTAATTTGGGGTATTATCCCAGTATTTTCCTGGCAGGCCCAATCTAAATTACAGAAACCTTATTCAGGATAGCCTACCAATATTTGAACCCAGGATATCATGAATTCGAAACAGGAGTGTTAACCACTTGACTGGGATATTCAGTGGGAGGATGAACATGAACAGGATTTGGAAGGAGCCAGTTATGGCCTAGGTCATGCATCATTCATGTGGTATGACTGATGGAAACAATATGAACCTTGATATGAATTTTCAGACTCACATAGTGACAAGTACTAAGACTGAGGCCTCTTGATGGGATGAAACTCTGTGTAGTCTAGTAGATCAAAACTAACATTTCCAAGAAACCTACTGTCTCCACCTACAAACCTTGAAGATATAGCCAGCAGGTTCCTCTGAAACATTAGTACCGGTCTACAAGTAAACAAGGGATCATATCTCATAAAACTGTAAACCTTGTAATAAGACGATGGCTAAGCATGTAACATTTTATCATGATCCATGAGCAGATTGTTATAATGATATAATATATTTAAACTTGTGTTTTGGAAGTAGCAGTACCTGGTTGGAAACTCTGACTCTCAAATGACATATTTGCTATTCTGAATTAGGCTTTTTATAATTCTCACCAGTCTCTCCTGCCATACTGGGGTATACCTTATGTCATAACCATCTACTTCCAGTCTTATAATTACCCATCAATCATGATCATCTTTTGATCCAGCCTGTTATTATGAAACCTCTGCAGTTCAGACAGCACCATTATAGATATAACATAACAATTAATTAAACCAAATTTTCATTCAAAGATTTAACCATGAAACTATACTACATTGGTTGATTTTTTGGACATTATCTATCATTCTAACTTTCATTTAATATAATGTTTCAGAAACTAGACTCTCTCTCCATCTTCAGGTAAAATGCCTACTCTGTTGGGTCAAATCAATAAAGCTAATTCCTATCTCTGCAGATAGGGACTAGTTCTATTGATTGAACCCAGCAAAGTAAGCTTTTTACATGAGAACAGGGACAATAATGCCCACAGAATCAATCATTATATTAATATAAAATTATCATACATACATACATAGTCCATAGTTTCATTGATCCGTTATCCGATCTGGACTGGATATAGAACTTGTCATAAAATGACTTGATTGCAAAGAAACAATAGAGTCAACAACAATTACAAACAAATTAGGAATGACAAAAGACACTTATACACCATTAGAACTACCAAATATAGTGGGTGAAATTATCAGTCACGGCTTAGGCACATCATCAACAATTACAAACAACAATACATTCATTTATCCAGCAAAATTTTTGCTTGAAATGTATTTGTCTATTGAATAAAAAACATTTGAACTTTGAGATCCTATTTACAAAATCAGTACAGCCCTGGTACATATCCTAATTTTAGGAAGCTTGAACTGGCTATAATAATTTTTATGTCACAGTTCGGAAGGTTCTGAGCAGTGTTGGCAAGATGTACAACTATACAGGGTGGACAGCAGGGAATCTAAATCTGAATCTTACCAGTCTGCTCGTGAAACTTTTCCAGCTGAACAGGTTTAGTATCATGCAGTCATTATTCATACATTTACAAGTTATGCATTATTCACCACTGACTTTCTTACAGTTTTTGCAGAATTTATAATTTTAATGTAACTACCCTCTTTTGAATTTGTGTTTGTCATAAGTTGTTAAAAATTAAGTTGCTATTTTTTATGTCCAAAATCACCATTGTGTTGTTAGTTATATATTAAGGCACTACAATTATAAAAATTCAACATTACATGAAATGTCAGTACAATTAAAATTTATTTCACTGTACATGGTTTGGCAAAATATATTTACCGTCTTCAGAGGTTCTCTCATTGGTAAGGAAACCATTAAAAGCAGATCATCATTATAATACACTTAAAATATATACAGTTTCTAAATTATGTACTGAAATCATGAGGTAAAGGCAAAGCTATCCCTTTAACAGGCCGTGGAGGCCCATAGGGTTATGAGATGTTCAGGCTCCCACATTTTTTTTAGACAGTCGGCTTACAGATGACGATGAGGTTGTCAGTCTTATGTGCTGACCACCCTTTATGCCCAGGAATATTCCTGACACTCATTTTTGTTAGAGGCTGAGTTAACCCCAGGACCATAGTGCAGCTGGAAGGATTAGATCAAATGAAAAATCCAATGACCTCATTGGAAATCGAACCTGGGACCTTCTGGCTTGTAGCATAGTGCCTCAACCAACTATGCATGTTGTTTAATGTTTGACTTGGATGCTACTCATCCATATGGCACACATGAATGTAAAAAATGTTGTGTCATATAAGCTATACATTTATATACCTGATTCAAAGCAAAGCATAGAATAGAAACCTGAAGTATTTACTGCTGATAAATATATGAATCATGTTATTTCAGTGCTCCACTTTTTGATGTCCAACTGGATGTTGATACACACCATCCATCCAGATTCTTGTTTAAGTTGACTGCACCACTCCATCAGTCCAAGTTTCAGTCTGAATCCACCTTTGCAGCCAAATGCAGGAGCCGGATTGTTGCTCAGAACAAGAACAATGTGAATCTAAAAGAGATTTACTTAAACAAATATCTGCCTTGCACAGTAAGTTTCTTTTAAATTGTACCTATAATACCAAAAACAACATTGAAGATCTGAAAATATGTTTGACATATAAAAGAAGTATTTATATATATGACCCTGCAGCTCTTCTATATAAACTACCCATTCTTCCCCCATGTTTATTGCAGTAAATTATCAGCACTGTACATATTCTAATCAGTACCTTAATTTCTGTTATTCTCTCTATGTTGTAGAGAGATTATGGACAATACATGAATGCTACAGAGAAGGCTCTTAAGGAACTGGGCATGTTCAAAGATCTGGAGCTGTTTCATGAGGCACAGTACATAAAGGATCTTAGATTCTTTATTGAGTTTGAGATCCTACACCACCTAACAGTAAGATGCATATTTTTATGTTATTATGTTACATAAAAAGTATTGTAAAACTATCCCTGTAACAGGCTGTGGAGGCCCATAGGGTTGTGATATGTTGAGGCTCCCACAATTTCTAGACAGTCAGTTCACAGATGGCGGTGAGCTTATCAGCTTTACATGCCAACCACCTTTTACCCCCAAGAAGATTCCTGGTACTCATTTCTGTTAGAGACTGAGTTGAAAGAGCTGCGTCATAGCTCAAACGGTTAGTCACTGACTTCCCACCGTGGCGGCCCGCGTTCAATCCTGGGTCTGGTCAAGTTGGATTTGTGGTGGACAAAGAAGCACTGGGGCGGGTTTTCTCTGAGTACTTCGGTTTCCCCTGACAATCTTCATTCCACAAAATACTCCATCATCATAATCACCCAGGGCAGGTACAATGGGCTGATCAGTGGCTGCCATGCCAATTGGACCCAGCTGGACTCCACCCCCCACTAAGCAAATTAAAAAAAAAAATTTTTTAGAGGCTGAGTCAACCCAGGGCCATAGTGCAGCTGGAAGTATTCGGTTAATTGAAGAATGTAATTAATTGAAGAATGTACCTTATCAGGAATGAAACCCATAACCATCTCGCTTGTAGCATAGGGCCTCAAACAACTATGCTACTGCATGCCCCATTAAGCCTGATACAATCTTAGGGTGACCACCTAAGTGCAGTTTGAACGAAAAGTATGCTACAAATATAAGTGGCCTCCGTAGTCTAGGGGTAACGTTCCCACCTCATGACTCAAGGTACGCGGGTTCAAACCCAGTGGAGGTTGTGGAATTTTTAGGGCGGAAAAATTCAGGGAACAAGCCCTCCAGGAGGGACTTTAAGGCGTGGGTCCCGTGTTGTAGCTTAACGGCACGTAAAAGAACCTCATGTCCCAAAGGGACCACTGAGCCAAATTGATCGGACATTTCCCACCCAACATTAGTCTCTAACGCCTCTGATAGATGGGGGAAGTATCGAGAGATACCGCTGAGCCAGTAGAGGCCGAACTTGCTGGATGAGTCGGGACTGATGGCACACACTAGTATTGGTAGGGTATAGAGACTGGTAGAATATCACAGAGGGGA